ATCTGTTTAGGTCCCTTCTGACCCTAAGCACTATGACACTGTTCATGGTAACTGAGAATCTGTACCATAAGTTTTCATCGAGTAATAATCTGTATTTAGCATTGTTCATTTGCCCAGACAGCAGATCTAAAGGATATTAAGAGACCATGCTGTATACACGTGCCTTGCAGGTAATAATTATATATGTAAACTAAACTTTAGTATAATTTGAGAAGTGAAAATATTTCTTGGAGGGACCATTCCTTTAAGACAGTTAGCACCTTCTGAAAGGCACTCAGTTCCCCAGTGCTGTTTATTATAGTTTTTACACTTTCATGTCAGTAACCCTGAATGATCTCTTGGCCTATTTTATGGGACAGCTTAAAATATTTACTTACATCTGTTAAAACAGATAGGTTGGCTTAGTTGGAAATGATCCGTTACTGCATGTAAAGCTTGTACATCAAAAGCGAAACAAAAACCACCTTTTGACTAAGAGCAAAGTCCTTTTGATGGTTCCATTGATGCAAGACTATGGTTGAAAGAGGAAACTGCCATCTGGAGTGTTGAATGATATTTATTTGAGTAGCCTATTAAACATTCTACATTAGCTCTGTTCAATGTCACTAGCAAGCAGCATTAAAAAAATCAAACATAATCCCATCAGTTTCAGTAATGACATTTGATCTTTCACAGTTTAAAGTGGATAATGTTGGTGTTCATTCTGAAAGTTCCATTCTTTTATTTTTGTTTAGCCTACAAGTCCCAAGTTTGGAAAAGCAGACTCTTATGAAAAACTGGAAAAACTAGGGGAAGGATCATATGCCACAGTATACAAAGGGAAAAGCAAGTAAGTTGGGTATTTTTCATTTTATTTGGGGGGAAAAGGTTGATAATTATTGCATGTGCTTGGACCAGAATCCTGCAGTTGGATGCAGAATTCATGAATGCATGCTGAAGTACCATAGACTTCATTGTATCTTGATGCTGGAGCATGGGACAGAGATCCCAGTTCAGCATTTAGATCATGGGTAATATTCTGTGCCAGACAGCATTAATACGAAGTGGATTAGAATTTCATTCTACTAATTTTCTATATGTGTGAATAGATGGGGTGGGATTTTGCAAATATGTGGTAACCTACCAAATTTATAGTTTGGAAAATTTTTCGTGTTCCAGGTCAAATTAGCCAGATCACTTCCGAATCCTTTTGATTGAGCAAAACTCAATTGTTCAAACACCATATGTGGTGCTGCAATCAGCAAGCATCCTCTAACCTAGATTTTTCAGCTGGGGGCCTCAGGTACTTCCAAATCCATCAAGTAGGCATCCTATGTGTAGGCCACGGCCGGAGACTTGGGGTTCAGGTGTCTCTGAGTCTCGCTTGCCCTCAGCCAATGGCTGCAGGAGTAAGATAGGGAGGATTCCCTCCACTTCCATGAAGTAGGTGTGTAGCCAAGATCCTCCCACTGGACACTGGCCAGTGGGAAGCTAATTACAAGACTTTCATAGTGTGTCCTGTCTGCAGTGCATTTGGACAGAGGTGCACCCTCCATTACGCAATGCCAATAAAATCAATTTTGGCTTGTGTACCAGGTGCCCCAAACCAGTGCAGTGACTACACTTTAGCCCACAAGAGGCCTACCATAAGGATAGATTACTACAGTTCAGCTGAATAAGATATACCATTAAGTACAGTTCCCCTCAGCACCAACTTTTTTTCCAAGTCATGGTGAGCCCCTACACTGTATACCTTTTTACTTCCTGTTTATTTCCACAGCTGAGCCATGTCTGTATTTTCCATTTCCAGTCATTTCTGTTTTTTCACCAGCCTTAAATGTCTGGCAAACATCATGAAACAGGGCCCCAAACAGTTTACACAGAATCCCTCTGTCTCCCCCTCTCTCTCTGGTGCATATAATTAGTGTGGCCCCACACTTCATGAGGTAGAGACAGACCAGGCGGCTCTGTGCCTCATCTTCATATACATTTTTGGAGGATCTCAGGACTCTTGACAAGTAGACCTAACTCTAGTCAACTCTAGTCTAGGCGGGGGGGGGCTAATTAGCATATTGGTTCTTTGTGGGAGGGGTATCTGGTGTACACACACATAATGAGCAATGCTGAGCTGTGGGGTCACTGTGGCTTGAAATGTTGACTCTGGTGGGCCTCAACTCTAATGAACAGAATTGGAATTCATGAAACTTTGGCTCTGGACTAATATCATTCATAGTTTGTACTACCTGTAAGTAGGTGTAAATGTGCTGCTTGAAACTGTGGTAAGCCTTGCAGCAGTTAAAAAAAAATGACATGCATCGATTCTGGATGAACTAAGTATATGGGTACTATATGCAAATTGCTAGTCATAATTAATTTCATTGTCATTTGTTTAAAAATTGCTCACTTCCACATGCTGAGGGAGAGCAGGGTTTGACAATAAGCCAAGGAGGAAGGGACTGCAGAGGGAAAAAGTTGTGAGGAAGCAGAGAGCAAAGGGGCAGCCTGACCCTCCAGATTTATTTTTCCTGGTCTACCGGGAGAGGTGGGTGTTGGGGACAAATTCAAGGCAAACTTTCAGTAATTAGATTCTATAACTGGAAAATTATAACTTAATTTGTAAATTTTCCATATATAGGACCTAATTATTAGAGGGTTGTCTTCTAGTCAAGTAAATATGGTACTAAGTACATTAAATAAACTTCCTTTTGAAGTATAGATATTATGAGAAAACCGTATAAATATTCGGCCTTATGGTTTAGCACCAAAATCCCATGATAAAATCAGTCAACTACTGTGCATTTATAATTAGCTTATATATACGGATTTCCAATAAATCTAAAATCAAGAAATATACTTGCAAGACATATTGTGTCAGAATCAATAGAAGTGACATGAAATTCAGTTAAAAAAAAAACCAAACCCTTACTCTTTCAGTAATGAGCCATGAATGTATTATATAAACTCATATTGGTTAGAAATACTCCATTTGTTTTAATAGAATTAGCCTACAGATCTATTAGAAATACTTCATTGATTTTAATGGAAGTGAATAATGAATTAGACTTTTTTTTCTAAATCTCTCACTTCTCCTTTTTAGTAAATTCCAGAATCAGCACATGGATTTTAACAGAATTTTTTAAGTATATTACAAAAAACCCCTTCCACTAACCATGATTTTATGCTGTAAAGTCAAGCATTTGAAAGTAGGGAAATCTAAGGAGATTTAGATTGCCCTTAATGTTTTATTACTAATGCCCTGTGCACCCAACCTGTGCATCAGAGGCTGTAGGCTTCCTGTGGGTGAGATTGTGTGCATAAAAGTTCAGTTATTAATGAAATGTGCAAGGCACTTTGCAACTTGTATGTTTCTCCATCCAACCTGAATAATGTCCCTTTAACTGCATTTTAAACAGTTAAGTTTTTAAGTATTATTTAAAAGAGGAATATTTGTAGTGGGGTTTAGTTCCAGTTGTTTTCTGTCCCATCTAATTATGCATCATCAGCAGGGTTTGGATCTTGTACCTTTAGAACTACCACATAGGCTTTCTGCTTCTTCGGAAACATCTGTACTATCTAATAGGAATAAAAGGCTGTGTCCCAGGATAGATCATAGGTTGTTGGGTCCACAACTGCCCTTCAAAAAGGCAGCCAGGGAGGGAGTACAAAAATCTGTCCCAGTATGGTTGCATCTTTGTCCCTTGAGGGATCTCTTCACTCATGTGATTTCCCCAAGGAAGGGTCACTAGGTAACAAGGTTTATGCTGGTTTTGCTGTTCTGTCAGCTTTCTGCTGGATAGGATGGGTGCTGTTGCTTTGATGCAGCATGTCCATTAACTCTTTTGTTAAGTACAGACAGTCAAAAAGCCCAAGGCTGAATTAATTCGATCTTCACAGGGTAGTCTAAACTGTGTATATTGAACCAACATTCACTTTTGATTCTGGAAATGCAGCCTGCAGTGGCCCAGGCCAGAAGCTGGGCGGGTGCTAAAGCACACTTGCCTACTTGGCTGGAGCAGACAGGTTGAGCCAAGGCTAGCCTGCCCACCCTGGGGGGTGGGGGTGGCATTGCTGGGAAGGTGCAAAGCATCCTGGGATGCTAGGCACCTGTGAGTTAACTTGCATCTGGAAGGGATCTGAGACTTAAGTAAATCAGTTAAGTCTGATACTACATCCATCCAGGTTTATCTTAAACTGGTTTTGGACATTTTGAAAATGGTTTATGTGCATTGAACTTCTGTTCCATTATAGATTTGAACTGGTTTCTGATCACTTATACTGGTTTATGTGTAATTTGTGTCCCTAGCCTTTATGTTGAGTAGAGCTGATGGAAAAAAATGGGATTGTTTTTGTTTTTGTTGGTTATTTTGCAAATAGCTTTCATATTTTTTGGTTGAAATATCTGCAAGTGTCAAATTCTTAACTAGTTCTAATGCTCACTTATTATTTTGCCAAAATATTTCTAGCAGGTGTCTTTAAAAATAGCTGTAGGAAGCAAAAGAATATTGGGTCACACTGAGGCAGTTTGAATAACAGTGGGTGCATTTACACAAGATGTTTGCTGCAAAGCTGACTAATTTACCTCCCCACTAAAGTG